CAAACTGATACAGAAACACAGATGTTAAGGAACTCTTCCAGGGTCACAACGAAGGGAGACAGAATTCAGCTTCTAAAAAATGGAATAATAATTCTTAAAATATTGGCATCTACCTTTAGAGTTAATAGTTTTATATACAAATAAATATTTAAAATATTAACTTGAAAAAACTCAAAGCAGCAATTTAATTCCACTTTTTAGGTTCTGCTTCCAGTTAAGGTGTAGAAGATGAAAGACTATCACTACCATTTTAACAACAAAGAACACTGGATAAATTACAAAATCATATATTTTTTTTTACCCACTGGAGAGCTGAGGTCTCAAAGAAGTTAGGAAGAACCAAATTTCAGAGGGACTGAGCCATTCCTAACTGAGCAAAGACCAGTAGCCACTTTTATTCCTGGGGCACAGGTGGAGTGAGGGCCAACCACTGTCTATTCCTTATTGTGAAATAAGAAGGAACCAGCTAAACTGTTAGCCATGTGGGTTGGAACAATGGATTAGACCTGGATTAGAGTTGTCCTAAATCTACTTTTCCAAATGTTTACCAAATGTCTGGTGGCTTGCAGAAAGTCAGGCCAGAGATGGAAACACATGAAGACTGGCACCCACACTCTTGAGATCGGATCCTGCCTCAAGCTATCTGAAACTAGCGGACTGAAAGCAGTTAAAGCCGCAGACCAAGCCAATCCACCTCAAATCCCAATTAAACAGAAGAGTTTGCCTCCTTGTCCTAGCTGCGTCTGTCACCCCAGAGGAGCCAACTGAGGACAGAGCTGTCACACAGAGAAAGAACTGCAAAAGCCAAGCCTTACCTAAGGTCCAACCTCCTGCTTTCCTTGTCAGTTCCGTGACCCCAGGTCAGTGATGTCTTTAGTGTGTAAGCCAGGTTAATTTGTCATTTCCAACCAAATGAATCTTAATGAATTAATCTTAATGGACACGAAGCCCAGGTCCTGACCAATTAAGTATTATAGGGTATGTACACATACTGTTACACATGCAAATTCTTGGGTAAATTAGCAATACACAATTTCTGGAGCTATGTTAGCCTCCAAATAGTCACTGAAATTACCATTATAATGCTATAAATGAACCAGATGACAATAGAAAATAACTGCAATGATTTTTTTAAAACAAACGTAACAGAATGTACTCTAAAGGAGACAGCAGTGCTGCATGGGCACCACGGCTGGGTGGCATGCATATGCTAAGGAGCTCACCGCTACTCAAAATGTGGGATTCCTGTTTTGAAAATGCCTCTTCGCAAGTTAGTCTTAGATTCTACCGTCTACATGTGACATCCACCATGCTGGAGGAGACAAAGATTCAAACGGTTACTAAAGACCATGAAAATGCAGGTGGGTAGATTCCCAACTAAATCTGAATGGTGCAATTAAAATTTAAGTACAGAAGAAAGATGAAAAGTTCTGAAGTCAAAATAACCACTTAAAAATCAAGGAACATTTCAAAATATCCAAAGTACCATTTTAGTTGTTGAGAATAGCCAAAAAAAAAAAGCTTGCAGACTCCATATTTTTATGCCAAGTTCCAACCTGGAGTGATATTTTATGAATCAGTTTATAAGGTCCTAAAAATAAGGAGCTGTAAAGGAAATAGGATCAGCCTGTCCTCTTACCAGGAGCCTCAAAGACTGCTAGAAATGCAACCTGAGTAGGCTCTAAGGAAGAAAGTGGTTCCCCCCAGGTGGCCTTTACTGTGTCAGTGCTTCTAGCCCCAGCTCTGCCAGACATAAAACACTAGACAACGTGGTGGCTTACCCAGGTTTGACTGTCAGGTGAACTGAGTGCTTCTTGGAGGGAGAAGAGTTGTCAGATTCCTCCTCACCTAGGTGGGCCAGCTAGGCTACTCTCAGGCCATGTCCAAGGTTAACACAAGGTCAACGGGGCACAGCCACCACGTTCAGCAAGAAAGAACATATTCCCATGGGAAATGCTGGATTAATTTGATTAATCTTTCTAGGAAACATCAAGAATGTACTTTGCTGGTGTCCTAGTAAATTTCTAAACTCCCAATGTTTGAAAGCTAATCCAAACTAGTTAGGGCCTAACTGACTGCTTATTAGCTAAGCCTATTAAAAGGTCCATTGTCTTTTCTCAACACAGCAACGAAGTTTACTGAGTATTTCACACAAAGCAAGAAGGACCAGAAGCAAAATTTATATCTCTCCTCTGTGTCTGTGTTTCTACCCAGTGCAGAACCTGAGTCTGCCACCACCTTAAATATATACACTGTTCCTGCCCGCAAACAAGCCGGTGTGAGATTTGAGGGCAGGGAAGGGGAGGTTATTTTTTAAGCAAATGCAGAGATTTCTCTGTACAGTCTTGCATGATTGCTCTTGTTTTAACTGTTTCCATCCCCTCCACCCTACCCTGGTTTTGTTAGTTTCATTTCCTTTGTTAAAGGCTAAACAATCTATGAAAAGGGTACCTCAAAACTAGTCTTGGGGACAACAAAGCAAACACAGGTACCATTTATCACTCTGTCAGCAATCCTTGCTATCCCGCCTCTAACGAGGATAAAGCTGGTCATCAGGAAAATATTCCATTAGCTCATCCGCAAGCACATTAGCTTCCGATAGTGGATTAGCAGTGGATGAGCGTTGGCTTAAGTGGAGGGAAGGGTGAGACTAAAACGTATTTGCCCTTAGTTTCACTGCATGACCCTGCTTGAAGGTTCTCACCTGAGAAAATCAGCTTCCGAAGACCCACAGGTGCTACTGCTCAAGTTTACTGTTCCTTAGCATGGTGGTTTTCAACACCAGCTGAATGTTAAAACCACCTGGGGAGCTTTTACCTTGCCAGATGCCCAGGTTGTGCCTGAGACTAATTAAAGCAGCTCTCTAGGGATGGGACCCAGGCCAGGTGATGGCAACATAAAGCCAGAACTCAGATCCAATGTCTTACAGAAACCCCTAAGTCTCTGAGCCAATATGTCCAGGGCAGCTGCAGAGAACACACACAGATTTAGAATGACTAACAGTCATTTACTTTAAAAGCAGATAAACAACCAAGAAAAAATGAACCACCGAGACTGACCTAGATACGATCAGGAAGCTAACTTTTAAAATAGCACACTTACATCAAACCTACACACAACCAACCATCAGACTTACCAAAACCCTTGCTTCCTATTAAAGGGTATTTTTTTTTTTTTTTTTTAGCTACTAGTAATTTTATGCCAAGGTCTGTCTTCTCCACTTTTGTAAGAAACAGAGGAAAACCCCTCATGTCTGGTGGCATTCTGTCTCCCCATTCATGAGTCAAAGCTCTCCTCTGGTTTCAGAAAGCCTTTATCCAGCACACTTTTAGTACATCTGTCTCTAATACCTCCCTGCCCGATGCACACGAGCCTAAGGAGGACAACAATCAGCTTCCATCAGGTCTGCATGCAACTGCTGAGCTGCAAGATGTGTTTGTAAGTAACAAGGTTATTCTAAAGTAATCATATGATCACTTTATTCCCAAAGTCATCGGAATACTTCACTGAGACACACTACACTTTCACACCAAGATAATTCTTTAAACTACAAAAGCACAACTCCCAAAGGTCAGCTGTGGGACCCTGTGATCTCCTGGGAGCACATGCCTCCTATGGGTGGCAATTTATCTGACTTCATCAGGGGACATCTGCAGGCAGACTGCAGATGACCCAGCACCATGAAAGGTTCTTGAACATCTGACAGATAATCCACAGGTAGCTCAAATAGAACCCCTGGGGTTCTCCAAGCTGCATACTAGAATCACTTCTAAAAATACTGACGCCCAAGTCACACCCTAGACCAATTATATCAGGAGATTGGGGGACAGGCTAGTGCCTGGCACTTTCTGAAGCAGTGGTTCCCACACATTAGCAAGCATCCTGATCCCCTGGAGGGCCTATGAAGCTACAGATGACTGGACCCATCCCCAGAGTTTCTGATTCAGCAGGTTTGGCCCAAGAATGTGTCTTTCTAACAAGCTCCCAGATGATGCTGATGCTGCTGGCCCAGGGCCACACTTTGAGAATCACTGCTTATTAGTCCTCCAGGTGACTCTAATTGGTGCAGCCAGGGCTGAGGGCCACTATATTGAAAGAGTGGGTTCTGACCAGGGCACCAGGAGAAGGGAATCCTCATCCCAGCTCTAACAACCTGGGGTTTGATAAACAAGCCATTGAAGTTTTTCAGGCCTCAACTTGCTCCTGATATATGAAATTGAGGCATTGCATGAAAGAAATCCTGGGTTCCTAACAGAAATAAGAAGACTTCTTCTAAGGGCTGCTACACGATGCTACTACACACAGAAAGGAGAAGGAAGTGGCCTCAGGGGCAATAAAACAGCTTTCAAAATACAGTAGTCCCCCCTTATCCATGGGAGGATACATTCCAAGACCCCCACTGAATGCCTGAAACCATGGGTAGTACTAAAACCTATATATACTATGTTTTTTTTCCTGTAAATACACACCTACAGTACAGTTTAATTCATAAATTACACAGAGTAAGAGAAGAACAATAGCTAGTAATAAAACAATTATAACAACATACTGTAATAAGAGTTATGTGAATGTGGTCTCTCTCTCCCAATATATCTTTTTTTTTTTTTTTTTTTTTTTTTTTTTTCCGTGTCCGGCAACGGATCGCAACCCTCAGTGTTGCCCCCGTACCGGACCGGGGACCGGCAACGGGATTGCAAACCTCGGCGTTGCTCCCGCGCCTCGCTCAGCCAATGAGCGGGAACCGGTCTGTATGTGGGATCCGAACCCTCGGGCGGGAGCACCACCGCGCTTCCCAAGCGGCGCACTTATCCAGTGCGCCACCGGGCCGGCCCCCCAATATATCTTATTGTACTGTACCACAGGTAACTGAAACCGTGGATAAGGGGGACTGCAGAAAGAAGATAAGTTTCCACACATGTGACTCTGGTGGGGACATCTGGGGACACACCGAGGGTGCCGGCTGGGCGTACTCAGCCAGTCACACTGTTGGTCAGACTCACCTGTGAGAACCTTGCAGAGCTGCCCAGGGCCCTGGGCCTCGGCAGGCGGGCTGGGTGTCGAGGACCATTTGCGCCTGATCAGATGCTCTCGTCCACTGAATGGGCCCTGGGAATTGTTGAGGGGCTGGATTAGCACTTGCTCCTGCCCAAGCTGGATAAGGCCAACCTGCCAGGAAGAAAATGAGGAAAACAGGACATCGGTCATCCTCATTCACAAAGGCCCACTCCCCAGCAGCCGGAGAGTAGCAAGGCCACATAACTGTGGCTTGGTTTTCCACGTTTGGTCTTTTTTCTTTGGAAATTGCTCAGATTTACCTGAGCCCAAGAGTGAGTTTCTGTGACTTAAACACATCCCACTGAGCAGCTGTGTTGGGAGGTGAAGGAGGACACAAAGTAGGAGTGGGGGTGCAGAGATAGGTACAACAGCACCCATTTTCCAAGTCTGCTTTCAGAAGATCGATTAATCAATTAAAAAAAGTTTTTAAAATTATTTTTAAAATCATCCCCCCAAATGTCCACTTGAGACAACCCCAAAATTGTTGGGAATGACAATTATATCCTTAATGGGAAAACGTATCTTATCTGTGGGGATACTTAGAATTAAATATAGAGACAATGAAGTCAATCAGACCTGCAGTACTAATAGTTTTGTGATAGGGGATTTGCTCATTTTTTTCGAACTTGCAGGTTTAAGAGAACTTGTCAGGGTATCTAATGGTTTAGATCTGTGATTCTACTTTAAAGTGCATCATCCATTTAGATTGTGATTTTAAAATCTTGTTAGGTTTATAAGCAGTATTAGAAAGTGCGAGAGAACTTAAGATGTCTTATGCTTACAAGATTAAGTTATTAGGTTTATAAGAATTGCTTAAGTACTTGTGAAGGGTTTGTTTTTTTAATCAGACAACCAAAAAACTTGAAAATGAAATTGAATATGTTAAACTTCTAAAAGCTGTTTTACATGCTTAACAGTTGTGAATCACCAAATTTGTACACAGAGCCAAATATTATTCAATGTCCTTCCCTCTTAAAAGTGACTGCAAAAACCTGCTATATAATAAGATTTTTAAATTGAATAAAAAACTTAAAAACTAAGAGTTTTAATTTGTCACTTTAATAGACTGAATATTAATTCTATAAAAAAATATGACACAGGGGCCGGCCCGGTGGCGCACTGGATAGTGCGCCGCTTGGGAAGCGCGGCGGCGCTCCCGCCCGAGGGTTCGGATCCCACATACAGACCGGCTCCCGCTCACTGGCTGAGCGAGGCGCGGGCGCAACACCGAGGGTTGCGATCCCGTTGCCGGTTCCCGGTCCAGTACGGGGGCAACACTGAGGGTTGCGATCCGTTGCCGGACACGGAAAAAAGACAAAAGACAAAAAAAAAAAAAAAAAAATATGACACAGAAAGCTGACGGCATTAAAACAACGCCCTGCTTCCCCAGACACCTGCTGCTATCTTCCTTTTTATGCGGAGTCAACAAAACAAAGGAAACCTCCCACAGGAACCTAACCCAGCCAGGGCTGGGGGAGGACAAGTTTGCACACTAGCTGTGCAGCAACATCCCCTCCTCCAGGGTGACATTCCCCGATTGCCTTTGCTACCACACATTCAGCAGATCGGGCAGATTGAAAGGTCATGGACATCTTTACTCTCTCTCTCTTCCACCATCACTTTTCAAAAGCCATGACATACTAAACCAGTGGTTCACAAACCCCAGCATGCACCAAAATCACCTGGAGGTCTTGGGTGGGACCCACAAATGCACATTTCTAACAAGTCCCCACATGACATGGGTGCTGCTGGTCCGGGCACCACACTTCGAGAAGCGCTGCTGTCTGCCACAGCTCAGCAATTCCTCCGGTCCCAAGCACAGAGCTCACCTGAGCCAAATGACATAGACCCCTCTGCATTCTGAAAGGATGCACCAGTACAAGCCTCTTGGAAAGTAAATCAGATCAGCTAATAAGATCACCTACAACCTTTAGTCCCCAAGACACAGGGTGAGACCATGCTTACTGCTCTAAGCATATTTCAAGGTTTCCACTTCATTAGAACTTTTGCCAAGAACAACTCACAGATTTTACTGCCCAAATAAAACTGTCTCAAAGTGGCACTGCATGACCATAGAAAAGACAGCTTTCTTCCCTCTCCTTTGAAGTGAAAACTTGGGTGGAAACGAAGATACCTTGGACAGACTGAAGAAACAGAAGTGGATGCAGTGGGATGTGCAGAGCCCCACTGCAGCTATGCATAAGCCGTCGCAGTGCAGATCACCTCACCAGCGATAAGTGGAAGTGTCCACGGTCAAAATCAAGAGTGCAGTTTATGGAACGGGGCATGAAAGGAGCCCCACACTCCCAGGGGCTGGACTCCCTGGAAAAATTCTGTCTGAGAGGGTGGTCAAAGACCCCTGCCCCTGGGGGTCTAGTACTTTCATTCATTCCACCTAGTGTTTGTATTCACAAGCCTGGGTGTAAAATGCAGTTATCAGTGAACTCTAGACTGATACAGGATTTTAAAGACAGGGAGCTCTCACCTCGGTGAGAATCCTGCATAGGCATACACTTAAGTACATGCACACACACACAGCACAATCCACTGCGGGGGTGGGAGGGTTTGCTATAATGTCTTTTCTGGAGGGGCAGTGCTGGTGAAGATGGACAAATGGACTGTACTCCACCTGGCAGGACTTGCCCTGTTGGGACCTGACCTTCAAAGCAGGGATGCAGCCAGGACTGGCACCCAGGAGGAAGGGGCTGCACACTGTCCCTGCCCTGAGGAGCCAGCACAAGGAAGGGCCTGCCCCTCTCTCATCCCGCTGTGGCTGAGCTCCCTCAAGAATCTCAAACACACTCACTTTGTCAGCATGTCACCAGTGATAAGATGTTCTCTTGCCAAGTGCCACTTGTGTCCCCCACACACAATCTCACTCCCAAATAACTGTCAGCCCTCCTGATCTCTTCTTGACCTCCTCTCTTCCCCAAATAAATCCCCCTTCCCACAGCCCACTGCCCCCTGTGACTGGGCTGGATGGCCTACAGCCACTTTGCTAAGTGGTCCTCACCCCAGCTGCACACTGGCATCATGTAGGGAGCTCTGAAAACTCCTGATGCCCAGACCCCACTCCAGGCTGACTGAGTCACAGTCTCTGGGGGCAGAACACAGTGTTTTTAAAGTTCAACAGGAAATTTCAATGTGCAGTGAGGGTTGAGAGTCCCTATCCTAGTTTTGAACTGGGTGCTGGAGACCTCGGTCAGCTGCTGCCTCGATGTCGACATAAAGGTACCTAGATTTGGAACCTGGGCCTTCCTCTGACTGTGGGACTCTGCCCACTGCCCTGGCTTCTAGCCCACTGCTGCCCCGTGGCCCCAAGAGCTGAGCAGAGCTGCTTAGATTCATGTTAATACTCCAGTCACCACCTATGAAGGGAGATGCAGGGAAATGCTCGTCCAAGGCTTCTTCCATTCCACCGATGGCAGCAAAGGAATACGGGTGATGAGGTTGAGGCTGCATCAGGTGCCAACATGCCCCCGCAGAGACAGTGCACAGTGAAGTACACGCCTACAGCAGCAGAACCCCCACCCTGATGCCACATGGTTTTAAGGGATATATAAGTCCCCAACAAAATGGCGCTCTTAAAAGGAAATCTTAAGTTTTGCAAGATTTGGTATCCTACACTAAAGAAGTTTGGGTCAAATAAAAAGTATCAGGTAGCACCTGATATTATAATAGTTCAACTCTTTGTTCTGGGTCCTTGCTTTGAAGGGTTTCTGTACTACAGTAAGAGAGTATCATTAACCCCACTCCACCCCCTGAAGCAGGACTAGCTCTCCCCACAGTGTGGAAAACGTGTGAAGACGCAGGTCTCCACCACCTCCTAACATCAGCACAGCTTCTGGGCACAACTTAGGAAATACATTTAAGGTAATGTAAAGAAAATCTGTCACGTGTGTGCTCTGGAACTAAAGATTGTGCCTCTATGGGAAGGATAAAGCCACATGATTCTGCTGAACTCACTATCCTACAAAGACCGCACTGGGACTGCAGGGTCCGGTGAGCCCTCCCAGCCCTTTCTTCAGGAGGCTGCAGTTCCTTGGTTAACTGGAGAGGCTCCTGGGTCACCTTCTCTGCATCAAGATGGGCTAGTCTAGGTGGTCTGAGAGGATGGAATCAATGGGGTCATGGGTTTGCTTCCGGTATGGGAGAGTTTGCGTCTAGGAGTGAAAAGCACTCCTGTGACTCATGCCTGCCTCCACACCTGCCTCTGACTCTCTAAGGGGCCTCAAATGGGGTCCGGAGCAGGGTCCTGTGGGAGGAGCATCCACATGCCCCTGTCCAGAGTTTCCCTTTTATGGCCCCGCTGCTGCCTCTGCAAATGTGAAATGCTTGGTCTTCCTTCCCAAGCCAGCCTCCCCTGGTAATGTGGGGTCACTCACTGCAGTGTCTCCCCATTTATGATCATAGTACAGAGTCAGTTGGTCACAAAGGACCACTGGCTCTCCCTTAAAATCTCTCCTGCATGGTCTTCCTTCCTTTCCATCTCCACTTCCACCATCCAAGGCTGCAGCCTGATCACCTCGTGTCTCTAAATGCCCCTCCTCCCCCTGCTAGTCCTCCCCACGTGGCTAGCACCAGGACTCCCCAACACTCAGAGTCCCAGAGTGCCGTCCCAGACCAGGAGTGCCAGCATCACCGGGGAACATGTTAGAAATGCGAGTTCACAGGCCCAGCCCTTCCGCATCAGAAACTCTGGGGCGTTCTTTAGGGTCTGCACTGTTTCTCTCCGAGTCTTGTCAGGAGCCTAACAGAGTGCCCCACACACAGCAGGTGTGTGATAACGATCTGTTCATTCAGTTCAACAGTGTTGAATGATTGGCTGATTTATAACTGGAGAAGTCTGGGAATGGCCTGTAGTGCAAGAGAAGAAACCTGCTTTTAATTCCTTAATGCACCAGGCTTTCACTAAATGATTTCACAGACTATCTTACTCCATTCTCTCGACAGTCACACAAGGCCGATGTTATTCACCCCTTGTATGGCTGCAGACAGGGAAGCTCAAAGGGGTTAAGCGACTCGCTCAGGATCACAGCCCTGCGTGGCTGTGCTTCATTTCCTAAGGAACAAGAGCGTGACAGTGCATCTGTGTGCCTGTGTGCAGAAAC